GCCGGCGGGAGCAGCGAGGCGGAGGAAAAGGCCGCCGGAGCCCGGCAGGACCAAGGCCACGGTGAAGGGCAGAGTCGTCAAGTCGGCGATAGGTGAGTCCCGTCCCGCTGCCGAGGGGAGGGAGAAGCAGCTTTGCCGCCCTCTGCAGCCCTCGCACCGGGTCCCCTCGTGGTGTCTCGCGGCTCCCTCCTGGTCGCTTGTATCCATCCCTTCCCTCCTCCTGGGTGCCCTTCTGGTGTCCCCCACTTAAACACAGCCTGATCTGTGGAAGCACCCCCATCTCTGACCTTAGCGGTGTCTCTTCTCCCGGGACCTTGCTGATGCTACTGTGTCTCTCCTCGCATGCTGCCTGGATGAGCAGCTGATGTGTTTTGTCTCATTCTACCCTGCCCTAGAGGAGTATCATAAGAAGAAGGCCGTGAATCACTTGAGAGCAAACCTACAGTACATGCTGAAGGGACGATTTGTTGCAAACAAAGCCATCACAGAACAAGTAAGACTGTCACTTCTTTCTCTGGGGGTCTGCTTCTGCTGAGGAACACAGGTGAATGGGAATCATCCCCAGATCTTCCAGCTTAGACCCTGTGCAAAGGAGTCAAGTTTCTGTCTGCAAGTGGCCTTGAGTAATTTCTGTGTGCACTGACAAAACAACTTACTAAGCTTTAAACTTGTTGGTATTTTGCCCCCCTATGATGTTCTCTGATACTAGTTAAAATGTACTGACAACTGTTCACCTTGCTTATCAAAGATATTTCATAGCTCCCACTGGTAAAGAAGCCCTGGTTCAGACTTTCTCCTTACTGTCGATTGAACTGACCCTCTGTGTAGCTGGAGGCTATTTAGCAAGGAACCAGATGTGGTGCTGGCTCATGCAATAGGAATTTCATAGCATCTTGAATAATGTTTCTCATAACTTGAGAATTTAACCAGTGGTCTTCCCCAGAAGGTAGCCCTACGCCAGGTTTTGAAGAGGAGAATAGCTGACACTGCTAGAATATTAGGCTATTTTTATGAGATACAGGCTGTTAACTTACATGAACAAACCAAGTGGTTTAGACCAGTGTTTCTTAGGCTGGAGATTGTGAAAGGAGGTGACAGAGTATTAGAAAATGCTGAGGGAATTCCATCAACTTGCTGGGTTTTCAAGTTGTTTCATGGATAAACAGGATAAAAGAAGGTCACAGTTTTAGAAAGGTTTGAACTGAAATCAGTGTTTCTATCCCTGTGACAGTTACCAGAGAGTACTTTTCATATTTTACTCCAAATACTACATTGGTATTTGCTGTTGTCCCGGTGACCTGCACTGGTTAACATCGGTGATTGCCTCTCACTTTTCTTTGGAGGCATTCCGGGATATAGCAGGGCACTAGTAGAATAGCAGGGATGCTGCGGGTGAACTTCAAATTAATCACTGTTTTGTGTTTTGGTCTGAATGACAATTACTTTTTTTTTTCTTTTTTTATTATCTGAAGGTTCTTGCTCAAAACAGAGGCAGGAAGTCCAAAGATCAGCCTCCAAAGAAGGTAGCAAAGAAGAAGCCCGAGGGCACTGTCTTTACTGAGGAAGATTTCCGTAAATTTGAGAGAGAATACTTTGGCAGACCATAAACAACATGACGGAGATTCTCGCAGCTCCAGTTTTTCTGCAGCTGAGCACTCAGCACGCAGGACTGGCCGTTTCCTTGGCATGTTTGAGATGGTACATACCAGATGTGCCTCTGGCAGCAAGTGCTTTGATGTCACACTTGCAGAGCAGCTCTGCAGCTGTGCAGAACTTGTTACTGGCCAGCTAGAGCCATGGAGGTTGTCTTGGCTCTGAGATGCATTGTCTTTGTAATTACCTCTCTCCAGCCAGCATTTCTTGCATTCTTAATGTAGAAGGGTGAATCAAGCCAAATATAAATCTTGTTCCCCTTCCTTAGGATGTAAGGCTTCTGCTACCTGTGTTAGGTAAATGCAGGGAGCATTTAAAGTACTGTATCTGAATGGAGTAGTGTTCTGGACCAGCAGGAATAAATCATCGTAAGAGAAGGATGCTTTGAAAAGACTGTTAGACCTGAGTAGTCTTGCAGTTTCTGTTCTTATGACAGCCTCTGTCAGGTTTTTCAGTCATTGCAAAAACTTTGTATATGTCATTTGATTAAATAATTGTTGCAGACACTGCCTATCTTTGCCTTTGTAATAGTGATTGTTATGACAGGTTACAATTGATGAAGACAAACCATGTCACTGTTCTGATCCAAGCATCCCTCTCTTTAGGATGACTCAGTTGTGTGAATGGCCTCTCTCACTGATTCATGTTGACGCATGTATTTAATCTGACATGCTCAGGCCTTCAATGAGTGTAGGTCAGAACAGAGATGACTCTTCTGTGTTGCCTGCTCCCTGTGTCCCCTCTCCAAGGAAGGGCTTTTACACAGAGAAAGTTGTCCTTTGGATGCTTGTACCTGAGCCTCCCACTGGGGTTCTAGCAATGCCAGGAGGGCACCACTGCTGGGTGCTGACAGCTCCTGTAGCCAGAGGGGTTGTGACCCCGATGTTAATCTTGGCATGAAGTTAAAAATCTTCTGAGCCAGAGGTTGTGGTGCTGGGTTGAAGGGCAATTTTTTTTCTATTAGACTACTGCTGCAACAAAAAGAGGGCCCAGCAGGTGGAAGTGTTGTTGCAGGCCCTCTTCCTTGCTAAATCATTGTAAATACGGTGCTAGCGAGCTCCTGCCACTGCCCTTTCCTGCCCTTTACCTGAGAAGATGGGAAGTCTGTTCCCTTTGGAAAGGAAGAGGCAAGAAGGACTAATGGCAAGCTTTGGTTAGACTTGGTTTGATTACAAGGGGTTTGGCTGACCTGAGCGGCAGCTGCTTAGATGTCAGCACTGGAGGGAATTTGGTATCCTTTCCCTGCCCTCTGATTATAATTCTTGGTGCCGTCCTCTTAAGTCTGCGCATCCTCTGTTGTGTTCTTTCCCTCTTTTCTGCATGGGAGGGAAGGTCACCCAGATGTACAAGGTCCAGACAGGGGAGACAGTGAACATACTGAAGTCTGTGTACTGTAAATTGTGTAATAGCATGTGGGAGGGGATTTCTTGTAATAGGATCAAGTTTGACTATCTGCAGCCAAAAGTGGTAAATACAGAACAGTTCAAAGACCAATTCCCTTCTTTTTCAGTTTGTTCTTACTCTCAAAGTGAAAAAAGATGTGTAAAAAAAAAAAAAAAAAAAAAAAAAGAGAATGATTCTTAAAAGAATGGAGACACTATTAGTTTAAAAAATAGTTGAGAAATACGAGTGCAGCGTGTCTCCCTAAAACCTCTGCACTCTGTGCCAGCTGCAGTGTGCGTGAGCTGATGTAACACACGCAGGTCTCTCTCTGAAGCTGTCATGGAGACAATTAACAGTGTCAAAAAGCTGGCGGTGCCACAACTTGACTTTTGAAAGCAGTAGATTTCTGGGGTGTTACTTTGTTGCAAGCCCTCATCCTCAGTATTTGGCAGTTCCTTTGACCTTATATATGTCCTTCATGTCACCCCCTGTGCCTCCTCTGCCAGTTACTCCTACACACCCTCGTTTCAGGAGTTGTTCAGGCCTGGGCCCTTCTTCTGCAGGCTGAGGAAAGCAAACCCAACCTTTGTTGCTCCAGAAAGGAGCACTAGGGTAATGCGGTTTGTTCTCTTTGTACAAAACCCGGCTTGTTTGCTTGCAAATGTAAGCAATCAGGAAAGCTGTTCTTTCAAAGTTAATGAGGAATTTTAAAGTGGGGCCCAGAGCAGTTTTCCCCAAGGATAACACTCCCCTGATCTGTGGAGTTTTAAGGTTGGATGGGAGCTTTTGTTATTGGCTGGAAAGACTGTTGGGGCCAAAACAAGTAATCAACATACTTCTTGTGGCCGAATGCCATGAGGTGTTGTTGAAGAGGGTAAAAGTACCTGACAGACTGGATCTTGCCATCTGAAACCAAAGTTGGTTGTACACCTAACAATATCCTTAAATAAATTAAACTTTCTCTTGCAAGAGGAAATAAAACAAGTGAACAGGTGGCTCTAGATAAACCATCTTTCGCAAGGGCAAACACCTGACACGTTCTAGCCTCGATTTTTCCAACTCTCTAGCAGAGCTGGAGCTCCTATGATAGAATAGCAGTGCCACCTGCGCACTGGGTAGATAAGGACAGGACTTGGCCCCTGAGGGGAATGTCTTCAAACTGGAAGGGTAAATAGGTACCAGCCTGTTGCATGTCCCTGGTGGTAAGCTAAAGCTGAGCATCTTCTGACACTCTCAGTTGTCTATGTTACAGTTCAGTCATGCCTAGAGCATGCCAGCTCCTCCATGTGCTGGCATCCCAGGGAGGTGGCTATCTTAGGTCAACTTGTGCCATCTCTCTGTTCCTTGCAGGCAGATTTTGCTGCCCCACAAAAGAAAGAAGAGGGTGCCAGGGAAGGAGTAGCTGCCATAGCTGCTTTTCCTACTTGGTCTCCAACCTCCGGTTCCCACGCTGGAAGCTAACACACTGCAGCCCACAACTCTCGGACCTGCCGGACGGCATTTCTCTCCTGCGCAGCTGTGAGCAGCAGTGCAGGGAGGCGTCCCACGGCTGCAGGCTGCAGGGCGAGGGCTGCGTGCTGGCTGAGCTCATCGGGCTGCTGGCTCTCTTCCCACCTCTGCGACACCAGCTGAGCATCCTGCAGCAGAAAATAGTGGTAGCTGAGCTAGGGAAGGAGGAGGAGGATGCCATCTTACAGTGCATCCCCACCCGCACGCAGCAGGGAGTCAGAATGGGAGGCAGCAGCAGCAGCGGCTTTAATATAAATGCAAATAAAAGCTCTGGAGTGTTATTAATGTGGTAGAACCTTTCCAGGGAAACAGTTTAAAGGAGGCAGAACATTTCCCAGATGCTCAGTGTTGAGCTAGCTCATTGTGAATAAGATTCATCAAGCCGGTTAATGGCCTGTTGCTCCCTCTGTTACATGAATGGAAAGCACACAGGAAAATTTGGATGAGTACAAGCTAATGTAAGCCGATACAGCCTGTGCTGTATCAGCGAGTCTTTACTTCTTTAGTGTAGAAAGCAACAACAGTTAATATCAGCATTATTTGTGTATGGGGAGGGGAGAGGACTGCAAATGTAAACCAAGAAAACAAGTTTGCTCAGTACTAACCAACTTCTTGCCTCTGAAATGACTTAGCAGTAACAGACCTCACTGCCGATGAACAAAGACAGGCTGCAAAACTTGCTCAGGCAAACAAGACTTGAAATGCTGAAAAAGCTGTGGGGAAAAACCAGGTTGGGGGGGGTCGTAAAAAACTTTGGGAATCCCCTCTCTGGTTTCTTTTTCATGACTGACTTCCATTTTAGTCTCACTGATGACTAACACAGCATCAGCACCTACAACTCCAACGGGCTCCTGAACGCCTTGGTAAAGGACTGGTTATTGTAGAAGGAGTGCACAGTAGCAGTGCCCTGAATAACTCAAAAAATAAAAGTTACAGCAAAAGGAAGTTTCTCATTTTGAGAGGAGAAGACCCATCAATTCAATTAAAAACGAGGTGTGTAAAAGAAGGCAGGCTGCCTAATGTGTGCTTACAGCTCAAAATGTGGAACTCCAGCCAAGCCTGGCTGAAGGGTTAGTAGGTTTGAGATGGATTAAAGGTTTGCATGTCTATCCATAGTTGTATTAAATAGGATTAACAGCACCAACCACTAGCTGGTGGGGGCAGCGGGAATAAGCATGAAGGTTGCTCTGCAGCTGTCTACAGGGTTACATGCACCTTTTTCTGAACGAATTACCTGTTAGCAGGGCTAACCATTAATCTAGCCAAGCTGGTCTGTCCTGAGCTGCTTTATTTGCATGCCAGCAAGCTCGTTTATCTCCTTTAATAGGAGACAAAGACTCTCTCTGACCATCCACACACTGCAATGGAGATGCAGAGGAGTTAGAGAACTAGAAGATTCTCTGGCCTACATAAATTAAGCTGACGCGTCTGCTGCGCTTGGGACTCACTCCCTGCCATTTTTTAAAAGGGTGTGTAAAAGAGAGGAAAAGAGCAGCTGCAGGAGAAATGAGAGGCAGCTAGCCATTACTTGGAGAACACGCGCCTATGTAATAGGGAAATTGGAGTTTGTGGGTAGCGCTGGCTTTGTTCAGTGGTCTGTGACGCTGCATGAGTGCACGGAAAATAATGCAAAGACAGCATACCTGGGATACCTGAGCAGCCAAAATAGTATTGCCTGGGTCGGGGGACCAAACTCCTCCAATAATTCACAAGACCAAACTAAACATCTTGAAGTATTTCAATGGGAAAGTCAGCAAAGACGAGCTTTTTTTTTTTTTTTGGCCCAGCAAGGGATGTTCATGATAAGACCCTAAGACTGTCTTTGTACTGGAAATGAAGCGCAGCAGTGTATGTGCTGGGCTGCACGGCAAGGCTGTGAATACATCAGGAGAACAGGAAGCCAGGAAGCAGTTTTTCTCCAGAAGCTACTTGAACTGTATTAAGAAAATATTAGTATACACAAGATGGAAATTATGCACATAGGAGGGACAATACAGATCTTGTTGTTTCTGAAGGCCTAAGCCTATGGAAAGATAAAGAAAACTGGTGACTTAAAATGTAT